GACAAAAAATTCACAAAAAATCAGAGTTGAACCATACCACACCATTAAACAAAAAGACTTAATAGATATCTACAGAATGTTTCTTCCAACAACAAATTACACATTTTTCTCACCATCAAATAGACTTTTCCCAACATAGATCACATCATCTGCAAAATTTATGCTTAAATAAATTTCAAAAAATTGAAATAATCCCATGCATACCATCATATCATAGAGTAGGAAAAGGGGGCCAGTAGGTAGGAAAAGTAAGACAAGGCCTCAGGAAGCCTTCTGGCCAATTCGACCAGAAAGAGTTAAACCTTCAATAAAGGAACAGGAAGAAAGCTAATAAGCTTGTCAGACAGGCCTAGCCACTCCTTCCCACCTTTAATAAAATGCAAAGGGGACAAAGGGTGGCCACTTGAAAGACAGCTCTTATTTAGTATATAAAATATGCATACATCCCTTAAATTTAATTGCTAGCTCAATTTTTGTATGTAAGGTCTCTTCTCACCAACCCATAAATTCTAGAGATAAGAGTCTTGACAGGGCAAGAAAAAAATAAAATAATAATCATTTAAGAATGAACATGTAGGGCCAGGGATTTAGCTCAGTGGCACTGAACCTGCTTTGCAAGGGCAAGGTACAGAGTTCAATCCCTCGTATGGCAAAAAGAAAAAAAAAAAAAAAAAAAAAAAAAGAATGCACATGCAAGTGGAGCCAGGAGTGAAGAGTCTTGGGGCCTATAATTCATCTATGATAGCCCACAAAACCAGTCTAGTTATGGCAAATTCCAGGTAGGGGAGAAAAGCCTTGGCACCCAATAAAAGCAGCCAGGAGCAAAGGGTCCATGGATCTTCAATCTTTCTGGAGCTTCCTTCTCTGACTTATTAAGATAGTTCTCAATCTTCTCCTTTTCCCACACTCCAGTGATGTGTCCAGTAAAATGTCTTCCATTTCTTAAAATTTTTATCTTTAATTTGTGACTGATACTGAGTTTACAATCCTGATGAGCAGCTTAGACAGGGAAAGCAGTGGAGCTATTGCTGCAGTGCACATCTCCAGATGCAATAAGTGTATAGAGAAACCAGAAATGAAGAATTATCTGAATGTGATCACTATGTATGACAAATATAGTTTGTACTAATAAAAATGGTAACAAGAATACTCTGGAGGAAAGACAGCGTGTAAAACAAGTGGTGCTGGGAAAAATGGATAACTCTGTACAAGATTGAAACTGTCCCCATATCTTTCATCATGTACTAAATTAAATCAAGATAGATAAAAGATCTAAACATTAAAACAGAAACATTGAACCTACTGGAAGACAAAGTAGGTAAAACACTTGAAGCCTTGGGTGTAGGAAAGTATTTTCTAAACAAAACTGCAACTTCACAAGAAATAACAGTAAGAATCGATAAGTGGAATTACGCCAAATAGAAAAGCTTCTCTACAACAGAATCAATTAGTAGATGAAGAGACAACCTTCAGAATGTGAAAACGCTTTCATTAACCATTCCACAGAGGACTAATATCTGGAATACATAAAGAACTAAAAATAAATGAACCAGTCGAGAAATGGGCATGTAAAATGAAAAGATATTTCACAGAGAAAGAGTTGCAAATGGCCAATAAATATATGAAAAAAATGCTTAACATCTCTGGCCACTGGAGAAATGCAAATTAAAACAACACTAAGATTCTATCTTATACCACAAAGAATGGCAATCATTAAGAATTCAACAAAAGGGCCGGGGATTTAGCTCAGCGGTTCGGTGGTCTGCCTTGCAAGCGCACGGACCCGAGTTCGATCCCCAGTACAAAAAAAAAAAAAAAAAAAAAAAGAAATCAACAAAGAACAAAAGAAAACTCCTACACTGTTAGTAGAAATGTAAGCTATTACAACTGTTAGGAAAATTATCATGATTAGGTACATGATGCAAAATGAAGATGAAGATAAATAGTGAAATAAATAAGGCCCAGAGGTCAGAACTTCTAGTGAGCAAAGACCCTGAACCTTGGGACTTGCCAGTACTTTAATGAGCACAAAGTAGTATGTGCAGTAATGATCAGAGGTGCTGATGCAAGAGAGGCCTAGCAAGAACAGAACAAAGCATTCTTGCAAGAAGTGAATCTTAGATTAATGGGAACTTGTTCTTTCCCTTAGGTTAATATTAACTTTTTATAGAGGATGAACAAGAATCATGGGGTCTTCAGCTGCAGATGTTATCAGCTATACAGTTTCCATAGTAATCATTGACTTGGGTTAGTCTTGGCCATGGCCAGTGGCCCGTGGCACAGAGTTCTTTCTGCATGCCAGCTGCAGCCAAAAAGCTGTGCACTTAAACCTCAAACCAGTTCTGAATTATAAGTATAAGCCAATTGTACTAAGATAATTGAATATAATCAAAGCCTGCTCAACACTATCTTAAGGTGGTCTCCTATAGAAATCAGTATGTATATTTGTCAAAGAACTAAAATCAGAAATTGTGTATGACTCAGCTGTCCTCATGCTACATATCTTCCTCAAAGAGCTTAGACTTCATAATATAGTGATACACACATACTAATATTTACAGTAGCATAATTCATAATAGCTAAATCCTGGAATCTATCACCATATGATTTGGATAAAGAGAATGCAGTATCTATGTTTAATAGAATACCACTTGGCTATAAAGGACAAATTTAAGTCATTTGTAGGAAAATTGATGCACTTGAAAAATATAATGTTGAGTGAAATAAACCAGACACACACACACTTAAACATCATATGGTTCCCTCATTTGAGTAAGACAAAGTACAAAGAGAATACAAGATGCATTCTTGTAGGAGACAAGGGAATGGCTCTTTTGCAAATGAGAAGGAGTCCAAAAGACCAAGGGCGTGGGATGACAGGGAACATAAGGAGAAATAAGTACAATGAAGTTATGGTATATACAAGAACCTCAATGAATGTAAAGATTATATGGTATAAATATGTCAAGGCTAATAATATCAACAAGAATGAAAATGGGGAATGGGGAATTGAAGGAGGAAATTAGGAGGGGGAAGAGAAAAGGGGATTAAAAAAAGAAACAAGCTGTACCATGTACATGCACCTACTCTCCAAGATAACTCTAAACTGTATGTACAGTGGACCCTCAAGTTACTACCAGCCTGACATGTGAACAACTTGGGTTACAATTGGAAGTTTAGTTTTAACTTATGAACAAAGTACTGAAGGCCCAAATGCTGGCCACTTGTGATTCCATATGGTCTCACACACAGATTTAATCCTTAAAGAGTTCTGGAAGGAACCTTTCTAATATCTTTCCAGTATCGTTCCTTTGTGGGTTTGAGAAATCCTGGGCCAATGGCTCTCTAGGGACACTGAGATCTGCCTGTATGTAGGAGAGAGGTTTTGAAGGCTGTGTTCAGGAGCCTGACACTTCAAATGAACAAGTTCAGTCACAAACAGCCCTCAGGAACAAACTAGTTCATAAGTCAAGGGTCCACTGTACTGCCAACATGTACTAAAAAACGAATGAACTTGCATCCTTACCTATATCCTATACAGAAAAAAAACTCAATGTAAATCATATACATATACGTGTGTGTATGTGTACATCACAAGGCAAAGTATTAGAGGAAACTAGGAGTAAATCTTAATGACCTTGAATTAAGCAAAATTTTCTCTATTTTAGCAAAACCATAAGTAACAAAAGAAAAACATATAAATTGATTTTTAAAATTAAAAACTTTTGTACTTCAAAGAACACCTCCAAAAGAATGAATATATGACCCATGAAATGGTAGAGCGTATTTTCAATTCATGTATGTAGTTACAGGCTAAAAGATTTCCATTCAAGAGGGCTCAATCCAATCTTACTTGAAATCTACAAGCATTAATTTTAGGATATAATTAATATATATAAACATTCTCACTGCATTTTTTTCAGTACCAGGGATTGAACTCAGGACCTTGCTTTTGCAAGGCAGGCACAGTGCCACTGAGCCAAATCCCCAGCCCCACATTGCATCTATTTTTGAAAGTGTAAAATCGCTTGATACAAAAATAAAAGTAAAAATGCCCACATAGGACACCAAAAGTATGATCTGCAACATTTAATAAAATTTAGAAAATTTTGGCTAATTTTTTTTAGCATTTTCCAGAATCTATTATCAATTACGCTGGGTGAAGTTCTCTATGGCATATCTCTGTAAACAAAATAATGGAGCAGTCTGTTTGTCTCCGGTGTATATTTCAAAATTCAGGGCATGAAACGCTCTAAAATTGATAGTACTCATCTAAAGCTACTATTATATTAAGAAATTCCAGGAACACATAAATCATGTTTTTGAAAGTACTTTTTATTTTAAAGCATCACATCATTTGATTATCAATAAACAAAGCTACATTTTCATTATATTTTTATAGAGTGAAGACTGGCAAACAAGAAACAGGATAAACTAAAGAAAAAGGTGTTGGTCTTTAGAAATAATAAGTAGTATGGAACTAAAATACAAAACTTTTTTCGTGAGTTAAGTGATTTAGATGATGTCTCCTCTCTAGAAGTCTTTAATAATATTGTTAAAGATGTCTCTTGTTATGTTTTGTATCTGCAGTGTCCCTTAAGAACTCATATATTGAAGGTTTGATCCCTATGGCAGTAATAAGTGGAAGTGAAGCCTTTTGAAAATGACTGGCTGACAGGGACTCTAACCTCATCAACAGCTGAACCTATAATAACTTACTGATGAATGCATATTATAATGGGTTTGGGCAGGTGCTTTGTTGCAAAAGGGAGCTTTTGCTATCTTTGCTTACATGCCACCATGAAGTGAGCAGCTTTGCTCTACCATTCTCTCCCCATTGTGACTTTGTTTGCTACGGGCCCACAGTGGTGATGCTAAGCTACATGGACCTCTGAAACCATGAGCCAAATGAAATAGTTTCTTCTTTTAAACTGTTCCTTTGGTACTTTGTCACAACAATGGAACACTGATTAACATATCCATTTACTTGATATTTTGTATTTTTTTATGGAATAGAGGCATAGAAAATATCCTCTCTGCTTGCATTAATATATTCAAACAAGGTATGACTAAAGTGAAACAGAAAGGCCCACTATCAAGAGACAGTGGCATGCACAGTCACAATCTGTCTTAAAAATGGGAAAGCCACTAAGTTTTCTTTTAGTAAAAACCTGTGGAAAACATATCTTGGGCAATAAGTGTCAACATACTTTTTAATAATTAATTAAAATCTGAGCTCTATTCAAAAGCATGCCCTTTTAACTTTACTTGCTATCCCAGTTCCATGACAAAACAGGCATATTTCACTGAAGTAAGCAACTCAGAAACATAATTTCATCCTAAGAATGCAGTTACATAAAGAACTTGTTAACAATGCACCTACTGCTTTTTATGGGGTGGGTCATGTAATCTGATCACTTCATGTGCAATGAAAAACTACATTTAGAATTCTGGAAAGCTTGTGAATCAGTACACAGAAGTTTCTTCTACAAAAGAATGGGAATGTTATAGTTACCATATAAAATTACAATGTTTCACATATCAGACTCATTATCTGCAAGTACTGTTTGATCACAATTTCATATAAAAAACATACATGTTCTTGTTCACTAAAACTAATGAGGCAATTTTGGAACAAGAGACAGATTCACTCACACTCTCTCTCAATTTTGTACTGGTGAGCTGCAGAAACATTTAGGTTGCTATAGTATCAAAAAGGAAGGACATCTTCTTTGTAAAAATCATTAAGGTACAAAAAATTTCTTGGGAGATAATACTATTCCATGATATTTATTTAAAATTTTATCATAACCTCCCATTAGCCTCAACATAATGTTCATATTTTAATTATGTATTCATTTTCATTTTACAGAAAATATCACCTAATCAACTTTAAGCCAATTTCTTTTGAAACCAAGATAATATTGCTATTTGAAAAACTTATTTCATAAAAGCAACAGGGACTCATTTTTCAAGATGCTTAAGGCAGAATTCTTAAGGCACAATGCTTTAGGTTCAGGCTTGCTGATTTGCTTGGGCTTCTGCTTCCTGAAAACAAAAGAACAAAACAAGTTAAGTATAAATAACACAAATCAGACCTCTACATGTATTTTGTTTCAATTATATAAGACCAAATTACAAAGATATTCAAAAGCAGAGTAATTAAGTCCAGAAAAGTGCTCATAAATTTTAATAGAAAAACTATAATATAGAAACTACTGTCTAAAATATATGATTGTGAATCCTGATATGTCATCTTTATTGGATTAAGAAATGCCTAGTAGATTAGTAAAACACACCCCTTGTTTCTCAGTGGATCATGGAGGAATTACCTTAGGTACTAATATGGTTCCTCTTCTGTTCCTCTGTTGCACTGTCCCCCTGCTATGCTTTTCTGTTGCCATGAACTAAGCACCTTGTCTCTGCCACACTTTTCTGCTGAGATGCTTCTGCCTTGGAGCCAGCTAACCATAGACTGGAATACAGAATCCCTGAGCCAAATTAAATCTATCTTCCTTTAAATTGTGGGGATCAAGTGTTGTGTCTCAGTGACAGGAAAGCTGACACAAGACACATAATGAAAGGCTGTCTAATCATTATTAATGGTTTGAAATTATTCCATAAATGCAAGTGATTTAGAGTGTAAAATTGGTATTTTAAAATAACTACTTTCTTTCTCAGGTAATGTTTTACAAAAATCAAGAGATTGTAAATATTGTTACCTAATGTTTATAGTAAGTTGAATTTTGTTTAACTAACATTGTTAAGAGAATGTGCTATTCATTAAAATATTGTGGCTTTTATGTTTCGTGACCATAGGCAGGAAAATAAATAAGGTTGTCTCTTTCCTTTGGATAGTGAGTAATCTAGGATTCGAATGCTGAACTACCTATGTGCTTTGGCTCCCAACATAATACTTTACACATAGTAATTTTTATGGATAGTTTGGTGAACTAAAGATATGTGGTAAGAGTGAGTCTGGCAAAAGAAACACAAGACTTGAGTTGTAGAAATCAAGTGTTCCAGATATTAACACTCTAAATACCAGCCAGTAATTGAATTGTGGCAATCTTAGGAAGAGTCAAAAGCAGCTAGATATTCCAAAATGAGATTAAAGGAAGGGAGAGGAGAATTTCTAAACTTTTTTAAAGTTGCTGACATAAAATATGGCTATGAAAATAAATATATCTTATACCTTCATTACAAAATTTGTTTCATTTTATGGAATAGACCTACACCTACAACAATTCCCTCACACAATAAAACACATTTTATACTAAGACTCACAAAATGTTTAACCTATTTAATTGAAGAAGCAGCTGTACTGTAACATAAATAATCCCTAACATAAAGTATTTCTTTCTATGAGTATGCAACACTTCTAAGTAATCTGTAATTTTGGAAGCAGCCTGGTTCCCTAAATCACATCCAATAGATCTTTGCTATAACTTATTATAAATTATATAGCATTCAGTATCCTTCTTAATGAAAGAAATTACTACTACAAACATACAATTCTTTGTGATTTGTCTATAGAACTCATCATATATAAACCATTTATTTTCCTAATTATCTTTTATTAATAAAATGTTTAAATATATCTTAATCTTTATTATTACTTGAAAGTAAGCAGTCAATATTTATAGAATCATGGTTTATCTGATCAATCAGAAGATTTTAGAAGCACCAATATAGGTTATACTCCCCTCTACTCATAATTTAAAAATCATTCTATAAATTCTATAAATTGGTTTGCGTCAGGTAATCCTAATTTCAAATTCTAGCTCAGCTACTGAATTATTATGTAACTTTGGATAAATTACCTCAAATATCTGAGTATCACTTTTCTCCACTGTAGAATGGCATTAATTACACTTAGCTCATAGGAATGATGTAAGGATAAAATGAGATGTATGGGAAGTGTGTACCTCAACGCATTGGCCACTACATGCATCCTTTTTCCTTCTTTCTTCTCACACCCCCTCTCTTTTTGTCTAGTAACTGAAACAAAGCCTAGAGATACAGTGTGAATAAAATGAAAACTGCATTAAATCTCATAGAAGAGGCCTATTTCCAGTGAAGCCAGTAAGAACAAGTCTCTGACCAGCAACCCCTGTTCCCTCAACATAGTACTGAACATGCCTTCTATAGAGAAGTCAATTTCCTCTTAGAATGAAGATCATTAGGTTTGTGTTTTAGTAAAAGTGTCAATTAATTCATTTCATATCTCAAAATTATCACCTCTGCAGCAATGCCAGCGATAAGAAATGTTATTTCATTGCAAATATAGAGTAATTAATAATTTTACGTTATCTTTTTAATGCACCAACTATACAACACATAAAAATTAGACTTCCACAGAAATATTCCATGCTTTATGAAAATATTTGCTACAGATTACTTTTAAATATCAAGCTGTGCAGTGAATTCATTTTTATTAATTTTAAATGTAATGACTGCACATTGTAATTATTTTAAAAATAAAGAATGGAAGAAGAACATGTATATTGGTTATGGTTCCTTTCAGACTTTTTTGTTTAATGCATAAATTTTAAATATAATTGAAAAAGTATCCTGTAGAAACAACTCTATCTCATTTTTAATACATTCTTTCACAAACTACACTCTTTCCTTCTTATCCATACAGGCTATATTTCTAGTGAATGCCTGAAACTACAGATAATACAAAACCATATATATGCTATGATTTTTCATGTACAAGCATATCTACAGTAAATTTTAACTTATAAATTATGAACAGTAAGAGGTTAACAATGATAACTAGTGATCGAACAATTATGACAATATACTGATAAATTTATGTAAATGTAGTCCTCTTTCTACTGCCATGATTCAGTTAGTATATCCAGAATAGATAAACTGTTCAAAAGAATGATTCATGTCCTGGATAGGATGGTGGAAGATGGTGAGATAATTTATCACACTACTCAAAATGGCAATTTAAAGTGTATTATTTATTCCTGGAATTTTACAGAAACATTCTCATAACATAGTTGACCATGAGTGACTGAAACTGTAGAAAGTGAGACCTTTGATAAGGGAGGTTTGGGATAGTGTATCATTCTTTCATAATACTATGAATTCATTGAGTGGATAAATTATTTTTTGTTGAACATATTGTTGGACATTTAATTTTTTTCCAAAGTTCATAATATACGTAATACTTTGATTTATATTTTTGTCTATTAAGTTCATTTAGCTGACATTCCTGTTAAAGATTTCACTTATTTATAATTTAAGATTATAAAATACATTTTATTCATGTTTTTAATCAGTAAGACTTTGTTTCATGTATAGATTCTTTCATTAAAATGTAATACCCAAGAGGAAAGTAAGTAAAAATATAAATGTTTTTTTAAGTTCATATACATAATTCCCCTTCTGCTTTAAAAATGGAGTACTAGTTTATACTATACTCAGTATTGTATTTGGTCCTTATGTTTCAATGTACTCTTTTTAGCACCAAGAATTATTTTATTTCATTTTTGTTAATCTCACAGATTAAAATTGTATTTCATTTTACCACATTTCTTTTACCATCAATATACTTTTTCAATGTGGATTTTACAGGTGCATTTCTTATTTGATTTATTTTATTTAGCTAGTTCTTTTTTCTCAGCTTAATGTCCCATTAAAGGGGGAAAACTGAAAATTGAGCTGAACAATACAAACATAATATCAACATCAAATTTATTACCTTTAGTCTTGGAAAAAACATATTAAATATTATCATTAAAAATGAATCATTACTTATCAATCCATTCTACATGTCCATTGTCATTTCCAGACCCATCTGGTTAGCTCGATCTATCAGCTCCCCTTTGTCCAATCCTTCATAATGTCCACTGTTCTTTCAGATTAAATCACATCTTAAAATACTGAAATCGTATCGTTTTTCCCTATTCTCCATCGTGGCTTCTGCATTTCTGTAGAATATAGTTAAAACTATCCAGGACAGCAATCATAATCTGGTTCCAGCCTAGCTAGCTAATTTAACCTCCTCTATTAATGTCTTCTGTTCTGAAGTTACATTGTATTACACTCTGCTCCTAAATATCATTATGTAGAGCGACCCCCCAATGCAGTGGTTTCTGCTGCTGTCTCTGTGAAACATACCTTAGCATTACTTTTTAAGTCTCCCCAACAGCTCCAATGCCACTCCTCTGTGAAAGCTTTTACAATTGCCTTAGTAGGAATTTATGATTAGTTCTTCCAAATTTCTACAAGTCTTTACAATATCTTATAGAATTTACCACAGTATGTCTTAAATTAACATTATTTATAGCTGTATTTGTTAAATAATTATTTGCAAACAAATCTCAAGGTTATAAACACTTAGAATGCAACAAGTATGCTACATTTGATTATTTTTCCCACCATTAATGTTAATGCTTGACACTCAATAAGTTGTTTATGAATGAATAAATGAATGTTCGAATTCCAATTTTAACTCAAAGGGAGTCATCGGCCACAGGTAACAGATTTTCTAGATTATTTAGATTATTTCTTTCATACCTCCTAAAATCTGCACTAAACTCAGTGACTTAATTTCGATCTTATTAGCTCATTTAACCAAAGGTGCCTTATCTAAATTTTCTTGTAACACAAATTATACAAAACCTAAAATATAACATTTTATCCTGGGAAAAAGAAAGTTTGTCAAAAAAACAATTTCATAGTGACAACGTTAGCACATTGCATCTAGTGAAAACACAGGAGGTAGAATTTGAATAATCTATTTAACATAAAATCAGATGTTAACAGCATATAATATAGCAGGGAACACACATTTTGATTAAGTCAGCTTGTGTGGAAAAGATCTACTTTTTATTTTGTTTTGTTTTTTTGAGACAGGGTCTTGCTATGTAGTCCAGGCTCGCCTTGAGCTCACTATGCAGCTGAGGCTTGTCTCTAACTTGAAGTGATCCTCCTACCTCAGACTATTGAGTGCTGTGATTACAGGTGTGCACCACCATGCCCAGACTGAGATAAATTCTAAAAGGTAAAGGCATATTTAAACCCAGTTGTAAGACATTTCATTAAATACTCAATTTCATTTTTGCTTTCTTTCTTTTATTGGTTCCCCCCTGGGAATACTTCCACTTGGAAATTTAATTTCTACTGATAGCAAATATTCCCCAGGTTATTTAGCAATTTAGTGACCAGTTTGTAACTCAAAATGCTCTTAGCTAATTTGAATGGATGAATCTATCATTTGCTCTCACACAGAGACAGCAAATGTTGTAAGATGCTTGTTATCCAGAACTATGCATAACTGGAATAGTAGTCTTTAATGCTGCAAATTACTTGTGAAAATGTAATATTGACTGTATTACCTGATGAAGTCAGGTCAACTACCACTTAATTCCTACACACACATGTTATAACTTTATTGTTTGATTATGCACATATGTCTGCCCTGCTTAGGATAAAATGTATGCAGAAGAGGACTATTAGTTATGATGTGCTGCCCTTGACTTAATCTGAATATTTAATAAAGGTAGAGATTTTACTGTTTTAAAAACCTAACAGCAATAAAATGATTTATAAAGCGAGGTGGAAAAAAAAAGAATCATACCTTTGAACCAGGTGGTGCCTTCAAGCCTAAAAAGGCATACACTGCATTATTTTCTCGGGCTTCAAAGAAGGCATCATAGTCCTTGATGAAAAGAAGGCCAAAACGTTAGGAATGTGGAGCCAACAAAGAACAGGATGGGTTGTCTCACTGAGGGAAAACAGGCTACCTTCAAGAATCCCAGAATTCTGGAAGGAGTTGTTAAAAGACAAGGCCCCTGGATGGCATTTAATGTGGGTTAGAAGGTATGCTATTTTACTATGAAATGGCAAAAAGATTTGCTCCATATCACACTGCATTTACATCTGCTTGGTGCTTTCTCCACTACTCACTGCTGCCAACTATTTCCCAGTAAGAGACCACTGATTTCTACTGGTGAACTGTTGTTCCGGTTCCCTGCATTTCTTTTATTATTTATTTAGATACAGATTTGCTCATATTCTACAGTAGACCATGTATTAATTTATACAACCAAAGCCAGAAGAATGGTGAGTCTGTGCCATGTTTTGAACAACAGAATGAGATGTTCATGAAATATGACCAAAAGAGCAACCAAACCACTGGAGAGGTTTCAATATTTGGAATCCAAGAGAAACCTTACACAACTGAATTTGTGTAGGCTTCCCACTGTCATCCTCTAAAGCACCAAACCTACTACAAAACTAACAAATAGACTTACCTAAGTTTGTCACTTGCAAACAATCATGAACAAAATTTTATAGATTGGCATTGCCTACACCTGTACTTAATTTGTTTGTTTTTTTTCAACAGAGAAAGAAGCTCGACATTTTGGCTGATTTGTTAAAGTTGAAAAACCTTGTGAATTGTGATTTCCCTAGAGAATGTCTTCCCAACAGATTATCAATTATAGCGTTTTTTTGGAACACTTTTTCTTTTCTTGGCACTTTGAGGATATGAAGATAAAATGTTCAGAGCCTCTCAAGCTGATTATGATCCCTAAAATTTGAATCCTACTCCCCCAAAAATATCAGAATGGTTATTTCCTTCATACTTACTTTCTTTCAGCGCACAATAAAAAGAAAATTTGCTTTGTGGAGGACACTGTTGTGGCGGATTAAGTAATGGTCAACTTGGAATGCCCAGCTGAAATGAGTCAGTATGGTGCTGGGCATGGATGCCCCACCTGAGAATTGTTGCCAAGAGCATAAAAGGAGAACTGGAGGGGAAGATTGTATGCTGTTGATTTTCCTGGAGAGGCTTGCCATGGTGGTTTTGCTGATACAAACTCAGCTGTTCTCATTGTCAGAGGAACTGGAGTCCTCGCTGTCACCAGGGATGGCTGTTGCTGTCATCAGGGGAGTTCTGGTCTTTGCCTTGAGCAATACTTCCTGGCTCCAGTGCAGATCCCTCAGCCTGGTGGCACCCCACCATTGAAGCCCTTCTAGAATCAACCACTGCCCTTTGGGCCTTCCCAGTACAGATTCTTGATGTGGACTTGCATGAGATATTACTGTGGGTTCTATGCCTCTGGCTAGACTTGTGAAGGACATTGCCTTGGGCTCTAGGCCATTACCTGGAGTTAATCGGGACACTGCCATGGGATCCAGGCCCTTGTCTTTGGCTCTCTAGTGTGTAGACATATCTCCTGCATTCTTCTGCATTAGGCTTTTTGGGTGATTATTTTAAAATAATCATATAATTTCCATTATATCCTGTATTAAATCCATTCCCTTGCAAACCCAGACTACGACAACTGTTAAGAATTTTTTTTCAGCCTCAATTGAATTTATTGGTACATTTTAGGGATACAGTACAGTTAAGAATTTTAAAAGTGAGTTACACATTGGAAGAAAGTATCTGCAAAACATGTATATGGCAAAAAACCTGCATCCAGAATAAATAAATCTCACAAAACCTAATAGATGAAAAACAAAGAGCCCAATTAAGTGACTGAGAACTAAAAAGACAATTAAACAGGTTGTAAACATGGCAAATACTCATGAATACATGTTCAATATCATTAGACATTAAACAAATGCAAATTACAATTGCCAAGTGATATCAGGACACATCTTGACATTGTTTTTTTAAACAATAGGGCTGTAGATATAGCTCAGTGGCACAGCACTGACCCAACATATTCAAGGTCCTGGGTACTCAGTAGTAAAGAGAAAGAAAGAAACAAAACTGACAATACCAAGAGCTAAAGAGGATACTGTGTATCTGGAATGCACACACATACACATACAAACACACACACACTCACATATATAAAATGTATATAAAGTGGCAAGTCAATCTGGAAACATTTAGGCAATTTCATATTAATTTAAAATATAATTACCATATGATGTAGTAATCAGATTCTTTGGTATTTACCCGCGAGAAATGAAAGTTGGTGTTCATATAAAAGCTGGATGTTTAAAGTAACATAGTAAAGTAACCATAGTTAAAATTGTCAAAATCTGGAACAAATAAAAATAATTATCAATGAAAGTAGTTAAACTGTGACACATATTTATAGTGTTATGTGATGTGGCAATTAAAGGAACAAATTATGGACATATGCAGTAACTTGTACGGATCTCAAGTAAATTAAACTGGCTGAAAGAGGCCAGTCTCAAAAAGTTAAACACTATATGAATCCATTTATACTACCTTAGCAAAAAGACAAAATTATACTGATGGGAAAGGATCAGTGTTTGCCAAGGTTTAAGGATGAGTACAGAGTGTAACCATAAAGGATAACATGAAAGAGGTTTCTTAATGGTTCTGTATCTTGATTATGGCACTGGTTACACAATCCATGACTGTTAAAATTCATAGGAAAATGTAAGCCAAAAAAAGTTAACTCTGTGGGCTGAAATTAAAACATTAAATTTCTGGGGATTTGGCTCAGTGGTTTTGCCACCCGCCTCACAAGCACAAGGGCCTCAGTTCGATCCCTGGTACCAAATAAAAATTTAAATTAAAAACGACATGAGGAATATATTCATGTGTTAGGGAATGTGGTAAAAATAGCATATAGATGAGACAAAATTACCCACTAAAGAGAATATATGTATTTGTGTATATAACCAAACTGATTGTGACAGGTTAAAGGCAGAAAAAGGAGTAGGGAAAGCTATTCTGAAAAAATGCAATTGAAAGGTAAATGAGACGTAACCAATTAAAAATTGAGCCAAAAGTTTAGAATAGATATGCTCCAAAAGAAGAGACTGTACATAAAAAATGAGCGTTTCTCAAGATAACAAGTGCTCACAAAGATGTAGAAAAATTTTAAAAACATCTTGTGCACTCCTGGCAGGAATGTAAATTATTGTGAACATTATGGACTTAAACATTAAAACAGAAGGAGGTGCCTCAGAACATTAAAAATGGAACCACTTACTATATGACCCAACGATCTCATATATGAGTCCATGTCCAATGGAAATGAAATCATTCTATTGAAGAGACACCTGCACTCCCATTTGCATGGTAGCATTATTATTCACAATAGCCAAGAAATATAAATAAGTATCCTTTAATGGATGAATGGATACGTAAAATGCCATATATAAAGGCAATGCAATAGTATTTAACCCTAAAAAGTAAGCAATTCTGTCATTTGTGAAATGCACGAGCCTGAAAGATATTAAGTTAAATGAAATATCCCAATCATAGAAACATACATACTGTATATTCTCATTCACATGCAGAACCTAAGAAAATTGAGCTCATAGATTAGTATTAACAAAGCATCTTTTTACTTCCCTTGAATAAACCATTCAAAGTGACACTAACTGGATCTAGTCACTAATTTTATTAATTTTTTAATTTATTTATTACTGATTTCATTAGCAAATTAAATTCTAAGCATTTACAAAGCCAATGTATGCATATAGTCAGATTGCCAAATCTAACTGAATAACACATATTATATTACCTAATCATTTCTGTGCTTAGAATATTTTACATCCATTCTATTGCCATTTATCAAAAATACAATATATTAATTACACTCACCATGCTGTGCGGTAGAATTCTTGACATACGTATTGATCTAAAATTTTGTACCCTTTTTTTTTTTTAATGCAGTAATTGACTTTGGTATCTGCCTTCCTATCACTCACAAAAAAATACAGTCTCTAGTAACCAACATTTGACCCTTGATATTTCTGACTTCAACTTTTTCAGATTAGTCACTAATTTTATACTGAAGTAGATGACTGATAGATCAATGTAGTCAAATCATATACAGCAAGATTTATACTCCACATTTGGAAATAAGCTCAAAATACTAGTTAAAACAATCAAGGAGTCAAATAGGAGGTATTTTTTAAATCCCAGAACAACTAAAATAACTTGTGTCAGTCATCTGATTCATGTGATAGAAAGTGAGTCTTCAACTGGATTCAAGTCCAATCATGTAATTATATAGTTGCTTCTATTTTAAGAATTTTATCATTAAATACTATAACCATTCATTAGCTCCATCCACAGGAAACACAGATTTGTGAATCTGAATGAACAAAACATATTTTTTATTTAAGTCAAATAAATTCACATAGTCCACAAATATTTATTGAGCACATACTACATACTAAGCACTGTTCTTGGTGTTAGAAATATATGGGTAAACAAAACAGACTATAGCTTAGTTTTCATTTTCTATAGCAATTATCATTCAGAAAAAAGAAAAATTTATTTGCATCTAGGACATTCCAATATCATTAATCTAGAATATATTTCACCATATACTATTAGTATGTTATCATTTTACGAAAATGTATTTCACTTCCTCATATACATAGCATAAGCTTCTTTGTTATTCTTACAAATTTTGTATCTTCTATAGCTGAGCCTCAAATAATATAGGCAGGCTAGTACTTTCTATTATGTTCCACTCAGGAAATAAGATTCTAAGCCATATTTCAAATATAGCATCTCTGGAACCTGGAATCAAATCACCTGGAAAACAGCAATTTTGTGAAGACAAAAAAGGAATTATATGTCTAGGAATCGGGAGGAATCTGATGGGAAAGAATCCTGACAATGGAGAATAATGCAGAGAAAAGAATGAAATAATGCAGAGAAAAGAATAATACAGAGAAAAGAAAATAATGCAGAGAAAAAGGAGCCTGGGAAGCTAATCGTGTCTTCCTGGGAGGGGCCCTGTCTCTACTAACACAAAGTAAGCTCATAGAGGTTTGGTGGCTTCAGAAAGAAACATCAAGCCAGGCCAGCAGTGCTAGTACCAATAAAAGCCCACCGTTAGTGTGAACTTCAAAAACAACACGGGATTTTATTCTGAAAGTGATTCCTTCCACACGACAGGCTAGAGCTAGTGAGCCAATTCAGTGCAGGGCCCACCATATCTGAGTTTAATCAAGAGCAATTGGGGAAGGGGATAATTGTTTAAGACAGCTATAGAATAGCTAGAAAACAACTATACTTCAAAGTTTCTGGGGTTATCTTACCATAGTGACTGGGTGGGAGATGGCCACGACAGACAATCATAGATAGGGTGTGGGCTAAGTATATACTCCCTGAGAAGTTGAAGCTCAAGCTGGAAAGGACACAGTGTTCCTGCCCTCTGACCTGAGAAGCTAGGCTGGTCATGTGCGGCTTTTAGAGGGGGCTGAGTCTAGAAGTGATGGCAAAAAGTCCAGCAGACTGCTTGATGTTCTTCCCGACCCTAGGACTTGTATCCATCACAGAGTTCAGGGGTCTGTCTGCTTTCTTTATCTGCCAATGTGATCAGGGATATGCCTCAGCTCAGACGGTTGCCACAATGTGGCATGTACAGAAAGAGGGCTCTGGAACTACAGTGGATACCTCACAATCCCACAGGACATAAAGCAAGGAACAGAAAACCCTGACTTGGCATGCACAAAGGGACACAGAAACTAGGAAGAAAACATTCAAACGCTAGTTTTATTAATTTTACCTAGTTGATTCTACACTATTATTGTTTAATTCTTTTCTATTGTTAATGGTAGTATAGTTCTTACTGTATGTCAATACAGTGAGTTCCCAACTTAGGAATGTTTGACTTGCAAACTTTCAGATATATGAATGGACCTCACATTGCAAGCATTCGTAGATGCAAACAAATTGTGGTACTAGCTCACACGTCTGTTGGATATTGTCACCGATGTGTTGCCATGTGTTTACTGTACAGTGCAATAGTATACAGTAGGACAGAGCTCAATCAGAGCCCAGAGTGGAAACAAGAGGAAAAGCAGTAGTGATGTGGACGGAACTGCCAGGAAGTACTAAGCAATATGGATTGTATATTTGTGTCAAAGGTATATAAGACTCACTCTGTTAGACTTACAAATGTTCTCCAGGATTGGCACTCATTTGTAAGTTGAGGACTTACTATATTTGGTTTTTCTTGTTTCTATATTATAATTACAGATCTCTTTTCTATTGTTAAATTTTGTTCAGTGGTATATTTCATCGATTCTTATGGTATGGCAATATCGAATTTGTCTTTGACTTTATTATTGTTGATAGTTTAAGGATGGTATAGTTGTTGCTATTAATTATTACATTATACCAATATCTGCTTTGTCATTGTGTCATCAACGTGACTATGTTTCATTTCCAGAGTATTAGATGCTGGGCCAATTAAATGCATCCTTGTGTTCCCAAATTAATGAAAGTGACATATGAGTCAAAATTCCAGAAGTTCAACACAAGGACAGAATTTTAAAAGTAGAGAAAAGCAACGAATCACATATAAAGGTAAACCCATGAGAATTATGGCAGAATTCTCGACACAAATCTTATAGGCCAGGAGAGCTTGGAGAGTAGCATTTCAAGCATTGAAACACAGGAAACCAGTTGGCATGGTGGTGCATGCCTGTACCAGCACTTGGGAGGCTGAGGCAGGAGGATTGCTGCGAGTTCGAGACCAGCCTGGCCTACATAGTGAGTTCCAGGTCAGTCTCAACTATATAGTGAGACCCTGGCTCAAAACAAAACAAACAAACAAACAAAAAAACACAGGAACCTTCCAACTCACACTAATAATCTGTCAAATCAATTTTTCAAAATTAATGGAGAAATCACATCTTTCCATGACAAAGAGCACCTTAAGAAATGCAGGACCACCAAACCAGTAATCCAAAATCTTCTCCAGGATATCCTAGAAACAATGAAGCTAAAAATGTCGAATATCTAAGGAATGAATATATCCGCCATGGTCAGCAATTTGGAAGAAAAAGAATCCACAACAAAAAATAATGCAATGACAAGAATATGTCAATACCTTCCAGTATTAATTCTCAGCATGAATGATCTTAACTACCCAATCAAAAGAGACATATTGGCAAATTGTATCAAAAACAATACCCAATGGCATGCTGTGTACAATAAATCACATTTAGTACAAAAAAAACTTCACAGACTAAAGAGCAGAGGATGGAAAACAATATTCCATACAATGGAAACCCCAACACACTAGTTTCAGACAAAGTACACTTCAGGCCAAAAATGACCAGAAAAGGCAAACAAGGTCAGTACCTCTTGGTTAAGGGAACAGTTCAACAGGAAAAAAAATTATAAATATATATGCACCAAACACAAATACACTCAATTTCATGAAACAAACACCACTGGTCATAAAATATATTATAAACACTAACACAATTATAGTGGGATTTATCCATGTGCCATTATGACAGATCAACTAGTCATAAATTCAAAAAAGAAATATCAAATATGAACCATGACACTACACTGAATAAATGTCTTGTTCCACCCAACAACAGAATATATATTCTTATCAGCAACACATGAAACTTTCTCCAAATTACACTGCATAATAGTCCATAAAGCATGCTTAAACAAGAACTGAAATTTTCCCATAAATATTATTACATTATAGTGCAATTAAATTATAAATCAATGGCAAAAGAAACCACAGAAATTATGCAAACCTCTGAAAATTAAATATACAATCTTGAATAATGAGTAGGTCAGAAAAATTCAAGGAAGTACACAGTTCTTAGAATCAAATAATAATATTGATATAATATAAGATCAGAATGTATGAGATACAAGAAAAGCAGTCATAAGAGTGATGTTTATAGCTGTGGACTCCCACATCAGAAAAGCAGAGCGAGTTAGAACAAATAACCTAATGGTGCATGAATAGATTGTATAAAAACATAAAGTATGCAAAACCAAACCAAGTACAAGGAAGGATATTACAAAGATCTGAGCAAAAATTAATGAAATTTAGATTTATCAATAAGGTCTTTATCAACTGATAAGCTGCTTCTTTCAAATAATGAAGAAAATAAACCCTTAGCCAATCTTACCAAAAACAGGAAAAAGATCCATACCAATGTAACCAGGAACAAGAAAGGGAAAAATCACAACAGACATGGCCAAAATCCTGAAAATAATTTGTAACTATGTAGAAAATTTGTACTCCAATAAAGTGAAAAATACAGAAAAAAACAGATTCCTTGATAGATATAAATTAATAGAGCAGAATTGTGAAGATAAAAACCCTGAGTAATCAATAGCAAACAAGGAAATTGACAGCTGCTTAGGGTGGGAGCAGTGAGCAAATCTGAATAGAGGAAAAATGACTATGTCCAAGTTTGTGGGTCAGGGTAAAAATAGGACAGATTTAGGGGAATCTGTTGAGGAAACAAGGATGAAAATTATTTCCTTACCCCTCGGTACTGGCTTTCATTGAAAATCTGAGGTGGCAAAGGGTACCCTGTGGCTGGTCGACTGTTTTCGGGTACATTTTCTCTCATCCATTTCCGATTCTCTTCATTGGCTGCGATATCTTTTTCTTCAAAACCTATTTTGTTGGCTTCTAAGAAACCAAGAACATCTTGCTGTTTCTTCTTAATCTAAGAAAGACCCAAAGGACAAGAAATCATATAGCTGAACAAATAGCTTTTGTAATTTTTATTTTTCAAATTCAGCAAAAGTCAGTGTTTGTAAGCTAACAGAAATGAATGCAAACACATATCAAAACTTGTGGTTTCAAAATAGATATGATTATTCTTCTTTATTATTGTCTGGTTCACAAGTGGGTTGAAGAATAGACTATAGGTCCTTTTAATCAATTTTTTTCTTTTTTTTTCACTGAAAATACCCCTACCTAGTAATATCGAAGCAAGGTTAGCTGATGCATATCCATAACAAATAGAAGTATAGTTAATTCAAAAGTATATGCAGAGGAAGCTATGGTGATTTACAAGCCTCAGTTTCAGTTCTTGTTCAAACTCTTTCCAAATGACTTACCATTGTTAAAAACACAGACATCAGAGATGAATTTTTGCTCTAGAGCAACACAAAGCTCGAATTCACTCAAGTCTCAGTTTTCATTGTTCAGCACAGAAACTGAATGAGAAGACTAAGCTTGCCTGTAACTAAACTTGGAACACACCTCTACCACTCATTAGCCCTTAACAAGTGCTGCTAAGATATGTTTTTAGGTGCTTCTGCTGTCTTTTTTTCTTTGATTAATATTATGCCTGAGAGACGGCTTTGAAAATAGTAAAATAATATGATTTTTCTTTTCATATGTATGTGTTTGAAAACCTGAGTTCACATATCTATACATAGTAATTTACCCATATTTAAAAGGATTACTTCATATTTCTGAGCCAAAAGGAACAAATTAGTAAGAAATTTATTCATAGTTATAGTAAAAGGACACACTAGACAGAAGCATCAAAATATATATATAAGGAAGCAGGCCTGCTAATGAGAATCAAAATTCAAACAATGAAAATCACAGTCATGCTCCTTCTGGATTTACACCTCCAACACACACCTGCATACATGTTCTGTTATGGCTTGTATCTAGATGTCCTCCCAAAGCCTCATGCAGTCATAGGTGGGGTTTTCTGGAGGTGTGTGATGCTGAGATTAAGTGTGTGATGCTGAGATTAAGGGTGTGATGCTGGGATTAAGGTTGCCCTACCTTGGGTGTGGGTAGCACCATCCAAAGGCAGGAAGCCTGGAAGGGATAAAAGGAAAGGACAGGCTGCTGCTTCACTGCTGTGTTGCTTGCTGATTAGACTACTTTGCCATGGATTGACTTGACTGTTTCTCCTTTGCAATGCCCTCTGCCAGGACGCCCTGTCTTGGAGCCAGCCAATTATGGACTGAAACCTCTACAAACTGTGAGCCAAAGTAAACCTTAACACATTCATAATAGGGCTATAGTTTGTATGTCTCACTGCCTGGTGGCTTGATCCACCAGTGGTACTTGCATGTTTGTCCCATTCAGTGGATTTTTATTAATTTTATGAGTAAATAACTCAAAAAATCAGACCTCCCCCAAGTTTTAACAACCCAATCCAAAAAATGGGCATCTAAAATAAACAGACACTTCTCAGATGAAGTACAAACAGCAAATAAATATATGAAAAAAATGTTCAACATCACTCTTCAGTCGAGAAATTCAAATTGAAATAACACTGAGACTCCATCTTACTCCAGAAAGAATGGCTATCATCAAGAAACCAGCCAATAACAAATGCTTGTGAGGCTATGGGTGAAAAGAAACCCTTTCCGTTATTGGTGAGAGGGTAAATTTGTACAAACAATGTACAAATCAGTATGGAGATTCTTCAAAAATTAAAACTAGAGGAGAGGAAGAAGGGTTGCGGGGGGGGGGTCAAAAAAGAAGAATAAAGATATGTACAGGTACAAATTCCCTATGATGAGTGTGATCATTATGTATATCAAAAGAGTACCAATAAAATTAATCTTTTAAATTTGGTTAGATTCATTCTTACCACCAGTGGTACAAGATGCCTGATGGGACAGTCATGCATGTACACTCTGGTTCAGACCGGCGAGACCATGCTAATCAAACAATAAAAGTTTCTCCACAGGGGATATGTTCCAAGGCCCCCGTGGATGATTGAAATTGTGGATAGTATCAAATCCTACATTATTTTTCTGTACACACATACCAGTAATAAAGTTTAACTTATAAATTAGGCACAGTAAAAGATGAATAACAGTAACAATAAAACAGCAATAACAATGACATTCTATAATAAATTTTATGTGGATGTTCTCTCTCTCCTCGTCCCTCCCTCCTTCCTTCTCTCTCTCTCTCTCTCTCTCTCCCTCCCTTCCTTCCTCCCTCCTGCCACACAGTGCATGGTACATATAGAATATTCATTGTATATGCTGGAAAAAGGGATGATTCACATCCCTAATGGGATGAACTGGATGGCCTGAGATTTTATCGCACTACTACTCAGAATAGTAATGGAAAACTTATAAATCATTTGCTTCCGTTAATTTCCATTATATTTTGTACCACAGGTGACCACAGACAACGGATACCATAGATAAAGGAGGACTATTGGTGACAATGTTTGCTAATTTGTTTCACGAGTTGAAGTTACATTTCCTCTGTTAGTTGATGATCCACCTGGATGTAGGGGGCTATATATTTTGCTTTTTTCTCCTCTTACATTGTTCACCAAGGCTGCACACAAAATAGATATGTAATACCGATTGATCCCAGGATCTTGTTTTAAATTCTCCAAGCTGCTATGTTATTTAGTTCTCATAATAGTCTTATGAGGTAGCTGTTAGTATTTTCACTCCAGAGGAAAAAAAAAAAAAAAACTAACGCTCAGACTGATTAAGGAACATGCTTCAAATCACACATTTTCCTAGGCTCTGCCAAGGTAAAAAGCACCACTTAAACCCTAAAGTACCGAACAACAAAATAATGTACTACCATGAAGTCTTGTTAGGCACAAATGAGGCTCATAACACATATTTTTTCTGTTCTTTGGATTTCAAAGTCTGGCCTAAAGTTAAAACAAGAAAACCTGTTGATTATTTAATGAGTTTTATATACCAGGGAGAAAAATTTCTTAGATGATTCCACTTTTTTTTTTTTTCACTTGAGCTCGAATCATGAACAAACATTCCTGGAGCAATAAAAGCATCCCCCTCCCCCTAGAAGTTTACGATTTGGTAAGAAAAGGTAACATGAATAAGCAATGATTTGTATGAATTACATTGACTTTCCAAAAAAATAGTCATGTCCCTTCAAATCTATTTTCATGTATTTGAACAATTAAAGAGCAAAATTAAGAACACTGCAAAGTGTGGCCACAACAGTGTCACTGGCTTGTGATCACAGGTGACTACAGGAATTAGTGCTAAGAGGAAAA